GCATATATGCATTCATGTATGCATGTACGCATGTACATATGTCTATAATATGTATGTTTATGTATATGTATGCATGTCTAGGTATATGCACAGTCTATGCACATGTATATGTCGAGGTATGCATGTATTTCTGCATGCATACATGTACACATGATCTGCATGTATGCATGCATGCGTGTATGTATGTATGTATGTATGTATGACCGCGTGTATGTATGTGTATATATATATGTGTGTGTATATGTGCATGTTGGTGTATGCATGCATGCATGTATGCATACATGCAGATCTGCGTGTATGTATGTATGTAATTATGTATATATCCATGCATTGATACCTGCCTGCATGCATGTATGCATGTATGCATGCATAGATGCATGTATGATCATATGTATGTATGCATGTACGTAGGTCTTTGTGCATGTGGGTCGATGTGTAGGTTGGTCGGTCGGTAGATAAGTGGGTATGTATGTATGCATGCATGTATGTATGCACGGATGTATCTATGTATCTAGGGACGGATGTATGGATGTATGGTTGTATGGATGTATGGATGTATGGATGTATGAATGTATGTATCAATGCATGTATGTATGTATGTCTGTATGCATGCATGCATGTATGTACGTATGTATGTATGCATATATGTATGTGTGCTTGCATGCCTCTATTATGTATGTATGTATGTATGTATGTATGTATGTATGTATGTATGTATGTATGTATGTATGTATACATGTAATAGTGTATATCTGTATGCATGCATGCACGCATGACTATATACATGCACGTATGCACGCATGCATGCATGCATGCATGCATGCATGATGTATGTATGTATGTATGTATGTATGTATGTATGTATGTATGTATGTATGTATGTATGCATGCATGTATGTATGTATGTATGTATGTATGCATGTACGTATATAGGTAGGTATGTATGTGTGCATGCATGTATGTTGGTATGGGCATGCATGCATGTAGGTACTATTACACCAGATGTTGCTGGCTCGCTACGCTTCGCCATTACAATCTTGGCCGCATGGCGCCAGCGAAGTGCGCTGTGACCGCCATTGTAGTTATTTGGGAATGGGGGAATGAGGCGGCGCGGTCCCAGAGCTTTTAGAGGTGGCGGGCTCCACGGGTCTGGAAGGTCCCCCTAGGGGGCACGAAATTTTGTATTGTTCATGAGGGTCACACGGTCACATGCCTCATGGAGTTTGAGCAGCATGCGGGGCTCATCGGTTTCAGCAGGAACGAAGAGCTCCTCATGTTTCATGGGGCTAGGGCTAGAGCTGGGCTGGAGCTGGATCTGGGGCTTGAGCTGGAACTGAGCTGGAGCTGGAGCTGGAGCTGGAACTGAAAATGGAACTGGGGAGCTCCTGCAAGTGCTGCTACAGCTCCCCATCCTCCTCCTCTTCCTCCTCCTCGGCCTCCCTCTCTAGTGGAATACACGAAATGCTGGACCCAATTCATCGTCGATTTCGTCAGAAAACATGGGGGAATATGGGAAGTGGGGGTGGGGGGGAAGACAAAAACCCAGAACATATGGAGCAATATGGGGAATCCTGTTGTTTGTGTCTATTTATTTGTGTGTCCCGGGGCCCCTTCATGCCTGGGGCCCGATGAGCCACACTCACATCAGAGACTTCAATGTGTGGTAAGTCGTGTTCTTAGGTTCTGGAGCTGTTTCGACGCATCCGATGCTGGGTCGCCCGGGAACGCAAGCGAGGTTCTGCACACACGCAGGGCCGGCAGAGAGCGGGCCTGCCTCTGCCTCACACTGGAGACATCGTTAGCATGAGCGTCGTATTGTTTTTTGGAATGTCCGCACGTTGCGGATGCGCTGTGAATTGTCGCCTTACGGTATCGAGGAGGGCGGCATGCTCAAATTAGAACTCCTCAAGACACGGATGCAACAGCATCGCCTATATGTTTTTTTTTATGTCCGAGGTCAGGCTGGACATGCAGGGAAGTCACAGGTACGAAGACGCTTTCAAACTTATCGCTCAGTCTTGAGGGCCGCAGGGCGGGGTCGCACCTCTGCTGTCGCCGGAGGCTTCGTCCGCCTGGGCGGCAGCTGGTGCTGGCTCGAGGTCTCATGGGCATGGGGCACGAAACATGTGGGGGATGTTTGCCGAAACGGTGCTGTGCCGCCATGCGGGCGCTGCCATCTGGGCCCTTCGGTGGAGCTCCCTGAGGGGTCGCGAAGCGCTAGTGGTGAGTGGGGGTGTGCCGGAGTGGGTGCGTCGCCGCCGTGCGTGCGCGGCCATGTGGGCCTCCGGTGGAGCTCCATGCAGGGCCACGCAGCGTGTGGTGGGTGTGCCGAAATGGGTGCGGTGCCGCCAGGCGGGCGCTGCCATGTGGGCCTTCGGTGGAGCTCCACGTGGGGCCCCGATGCGTGTGAGGGGTGTGCCGGAATGTGCATGCCGAGGGCAGAGGCACGGATGGCAGGAGGGGGGAGGGGGAGGAGGAGAGGAGAGAGGAGAGAGGAGAGGAGAGGAGAGGAGAGAACAGGACGCGGGGCGCCCCTGGTTGAACACGAAGCCCCAAGACCGCAGAATGGTTGGGAAAAGCCATTCGGAATATCACCGGTTTCAGTACTTGCGCCACTTCCCTTCTTCATGGCTCGCCGAGGCCCCACAGCCGCTCCCAGGA